CTCAACCTGTTCCTGACGGTCTGTGCAGAAGCCTCCTCAATCTCGGTATTTGTCGAGCGGTACTGGTCGCCGTAGCTGTTCGATGACGCAGGTGATGTACCCGGATGTAGCGATCCTGCGCCGCAGTGGTCGCTCGAGGTCGCCCACTACGAGGGGCATCTGCTACCGCATTCTGCCGGCGATATCTCTCCCAGAACCGTGAAATGGTGCTTTAGTGAACATTCATGCGTCGGGCAACTGCACGTTGAGACTGGCCAGTTTCAAGCAAACCAATGGCGATATGACGGTTGGCTTCACTTAGACGTGGCATTTTGCGTTCGTCAACAATATCCCAAATACAGTGAATAATCGACAGACAGCGATCAACCTTTTATACCCATCATTGAGACTTTCTGATCCCCAACTTCCACGTGCATTGCATGTGAATTGTGTATTCTGTGACACTACACGCCGAAATTGGAAATCATGCTGTTAAATACGGGTGTTTTACGGATGGTGCGTTTTATTGTGATGTTTCAAAACATAAACACCATAGGACTCATAAACAGAGCAAAACCTTTTGTAAAATGAATCACGTTTTAATTCATTGCTACATGAATTTGCTATTTTCGTGATGAGTTTCTTTTTGGGAGAGTATATTTAGACAGGGGTTGTTGTTTAAGGACACCCCATTTTAATCTTTCAAAAACATTTTGTCCAGATATTCAAGCTGGCACTGTTTTCAGTATATAGAGAGCTGACACTTGTGTGACAATTCACTATTTAGTTTGAACCCTTGTCCTTATGATCACGTCATCTGAAAGGTAGTGGTGTGTGGAGGGGGGGAGTTCACTTTAACATGCGATTGTAGTTTCAAATTGCCTTTTTATGCACTTTAATATCTACGTTTGATTCTAGCGGACTTTAGCCTACCTCTAATACACAAATTGTTTCTTGCATATTTTGTTTCTTGAAATTTGTGATGCATTTATTGCAGATTTTGCGTTTTCTTGGACCACCAATATCAAACGTCAAACAAAGTAGGGATCAAGAGGCTGGAACATAGCAAAAACAATTTACTTGAGGTTGACAGATAATGTGTAGAAGAATAAAACATAAAAACAGCTGCATTTTGTATCATTTTCTAGGTGAGTCTGACAACTACTTGAGCGTCCCTCGTATGTCGTATGTCAAACACAGTCCCATCACTCTTCATTATTAATGTCCGCTCTAACTACTAACCATATCTATTGTTGAATCCAAACTGGTCCTGGTAATTGCTGAGGTTCAACTCCAGTTCTGTACTTCAGGTGTGATATATGTACACAAACTGTATGTAGAGAGCGTGTAATACTCAATCACAACAAAAATTGGTCACGATTGGTCATGATTGATCATGAGCTAAGTATTTTCAGTAACAATGAATTACTATGTAGAGTTCCATAGCAAAAGTACCAACCGTTGCTGTCATGATCAATTTAGTGGGCCATGTAAAGGGAAATGTTCACCTTTGTGACATGTCACGTGAATATGTCACTTTGCATGAGCATAATAGCATACTCACTTCTCAATAACGTACTGTTGTTAACCGTTTCAATACACTGGTCGCCATGACACTGTACATCAACATAATCAAAATAACATATTTTCTTCTCAATGAGGTAATTATATCATCAGGACACTGAACAACACCACAATCAAAATAACAGTGAGTGAGTTTAGTTTTACGCCGCACCCAGTAATATTCCAGCTATATGGCGGCGATCTGTAAATAAACGATTCTGGACCAGACAATCCAGCGATCAACAGTGTGGGCATCGATCTACGCAATTGGGATACGATGACATGTGTCAACCAAATCGAGCAGCGAGCCTGACCACCCGATTCCGTTAGTCGCCTCTTACGACAAGCATGGCTTAGTGAAGACCACTTCTAACACGGATCTTCGCGGGCCGTCCAAACAATATGTTCTTCTGTGCGACATATTTCTGTTACCCACTTCAATAAATGGTCATGACTTCACATCAACATAATCAAAATAATCTTCTCGATGAAACAACCCCGTGAAGGTCCTGGTTAGAAAATTGATCTTCAGTAATCCATGCTTGTCGTAAGAGGCCACTAACGGGATCGGGTGGTCAGGTTGATCTATGCAAATGTGTTACGATGACATTCATCAACCAAACATTGAGACTGACCAGTTAGTCACCTACTTAAGACAAGGATGTGTTGCTGAAGAAATGTGTAACCTGAATCATCACTTGTTAACGTGATTTATCATTAGCTCTATATCAAGCAATACGTATTAGAGATAAGGATGCCATGCATTTTAGACTGACTGACTGAGTTTGGTTTTACGCCGCTTTTAGCAATATTCCAGCAATATCACGGCGGGGGACACCAGAAATGGGCTTCACACATTGTACCCATGTGGGGATTCGAACACGGGTCTTCGGCGTGACGAGCCAACGCTTTAACCACTAGGCTACCCCACCGCCCCTGCATTTTAGACAAATGTAATATCCATGTTTAAGTCGGTCGTTACATCTCAAAGGGTTTAAACAGGCCTTGAATCCTGAAAGGTGTTATCCAACATTTCGACGATGAACGTAATGAAATCCAGCCCGACAACTCTCCTTGTTAACAAATACCCCGAAACGCGTCAGTTAACAGAGCCTGTGAAAAACTGCATAATGGAGTAGACTTGGTTCTGTCTCACAGTCCCTGAACCGTCCCCATGGTCCCTAGCATGGTGATCAGCCTTCAGTTGCTGGCGATATATAGCCCATTTTTACATTGTATTGTCCAAAAATAGTTTTCTACTTTTAAAGATATATGCTAGCTAGTTTTAACTCATTTTGTGATAATCTAGTAATTTTACTGTCCTTCGTTGACAGGGTTTTATATATTATATGTATGTATTATGAATTTAGAACTAGTTTTAGTCACGATATGGCTGAAATATTGCCAATGTGACTTTAAATTTTAACTCACTCACTCACTCAGTCCCTGACCACATGTTTTACCTTTTGTCGAGCCCTTTCTGCAATGCTAAAGCAAATAATGAAGCTCGTATATATTTCCCCAGGTTCCGAATCGTCCATCACCGTCCACACACCAGCAACACCAATGGATAACTTTCCGTTGCTGGAAAGCATAAGAACTAGCATATTACTGTTCAATATCTAAAGACAGCCTCAATGGTGTAGTGGTTAGAGCGTCCGCCCGGAGAGCGGAAGGTCGCGGGTTCGATCCCCGGCCGCGTCATACCAAAAGACGTTAAAACATGGTACCTGTTGGTCCCTGCCTGGCGCTCGGCATTAATGGGTACATCGAGGACTGGTCGGTGGGGTATTCATGCTTCATTGCGGGATGGTATCTCAGTGAGCTAGCACTATAAAACCAGCATCAGTCTGGACTAGTACAAGCAGCCGCCCATACACATATACACGCATGCACGTTGTCATATGAGCGAAATATTCTCAAGCATGACGTTAAAATCAATTTCACCTCACCTCACCTCTATTTCTAAAACCATCGAATTGACTACGACAATCGCATATTCAAACAGGACAAGAGATTGCCAGCAGCCAAATTTACGCCACCAGGTATATCCTTGAAATAAATGAGAACAATCGTTATTGTTAAATTATACGTCAAAACGAAACAGATAACAAACAGTTGTTCAACACCGGTTGTTACTCATTCACTTGTGTATATTTTGTGTTAGTTCTGCTGTGTTCATTATTATCGATTGTGCTGGAGAGTAGTGATGTACGCTAGACTGGCTTGTTTAGCTCCCAATACCTTACACCACTAGTGTATTAACATTAGCATTTCACAGGAAGCATGTTACGTCACAACCAACGTTGATGCATGCAAAACTCATACCTGCTCCAAAGTGGACACTGTGTGTCTTTGGGAGTTGGGTATAATATACTCCGAAGCAAGCGTTATTGTCACGGTGTTTGTATTTGTTACCTTGTTAATGAATATATGCATTAAACCAGTGAATGAGGGCGTTACGATGGAAACAAGCAGTTGTTCGAATTGTACAAAATTTGCAGGAAGCATGACATGTTCGTGCAAAATGCCCGTTAATGTTCATTTTAAAAGACGAGACAACCAGACGCTTATCATTTCCATTCAATAAAGTCTCAAGAAGTGGAGAAGTCTGACAAACACATCGATTTATTCATCTGGAACAAATGCGACATGAAACACTTAAGGGGAAAATGACAGAAAGGGAGACATAGGTATGCTTCATTCTCGCAGCGTAAGGTGGCACGTCGAATCAACACCGTTTGTCAACGTTTTCAGCAAAACATTTTTGGAGGCTCGCCAGTAACGACCCCATGTCTGACCGATGGATTCCACCAACGCACTTCCAGCACAGGTACCGGCCATCAACCTTACCATAACTGGCAACAGAGGTGTATGTGCGAACAGTTCGACGACGAACTACGTGAGCAAGACGCTCAGTCCGACGGGGCCAATGCAATCGACGTCGACGTCGCCAGTGGAGAAGACAAAACATGCACATGGTTGTAGAAGAGTTCTCAACGATGACGCACGTTTTCTTCATCACAGAGCTGACGGTAGGACACATGTCGACAGGTGCAAAGTTGATCACCATATTCTTTGTATTTCGGTATTCAAGGCAGAATGTTAATTTTTGTGTTTGGCGTAGCAACCGTGATCGAAGGTCGGTCGGCATTAAAAAATGAATGAGAATAAAAAAGAAATCAGCAAATTTGATTCTATGAAAAGTATAATACTTTACGGATAACAACTTCTTTATTTATTATGATGCGACAGTTTGGTATAGCTTCTTATACCGTTGTCAAGCAAGAGTAAAGTTATACAGCACAGAACTGACATATATATGTAGCAGAGATTAAGTAATACAACACGAGGGAATACATCAGAGGGATTAACAACAACAATGGAATACGTAACAATAGGTGGAAGCCAGTTGTTGAGGAGGCGGAACAAGATATATATAGCAGGTGGGATTAATTAGCAATGATTGCTGGATTGCTCTGTTCTGTTGTTTTTTATCAGTTCATTGTAACATAATCAAAATAACATACTTTCTTCTCACTGAAACACGTCTGTTACCCGTTGTAGTGTACTTGTCTTCACGATACTGCACATCAACTTGATCCAAATAACGCACTTCCTTATCTGTGACATACTTCTCAAAATCAAATCAACTCAAATGTTTATTGTATGAAGGCCATAGGCCCATATACATGAAGTGTACATGGTACAGTATAGGATATATTAAACAAAAGATTCACATTTAATTTCTACTCTTGAATGCATATTTGAAATAGAACATTACATATTTTAAGTCTTGATAGTTTGTGGTTGCCATGAGGCGAACAAATTGTTGTACTGAAGGGCGATTTAAATATTTAATTGGTATGTATTTCTTTCGAATGTTCTTTAAGGATGGACATACAAAGGTGAAATGGTACAGATCTTCGACGTTGTTTAAATTACAATATGTACATACCCTTTCAGACTTTGCAATTTTATTATGTCTCCCGGTATCAATTTTAACCGTGTACATCCAACTCGAACACGAGCAAAGTCCGTTGCAAATGTACACAAGGTCGGATCTGTTACATATTTCTCTGCTTCCAAGCTAATCTTAAAACTTGCATAACATTCATATCTAGTGCTAGATGCCATTATATTTGTCCATTCTTGGGAGTACATATCTTTTAATCTGGTTTGGAAAATGCTGAGAAAAGTTGTTATACACCCAACGTCTTGATATACCCAAGCATAACCAAGACCTGAACTAAATAAGATATGTCTTACTTGCCCAACTATGTCTACCTACTCAATCAAGATTAACTAACATTTCGTACGCCTTACGTGGAAGTCGACTAGGTGGCATGTGAAGTAGTTTTAGCCAATATTTAATGCACCTCACTGAACTGTCTATAAACAATGGGTAACGACCACATTCCCCAAGAGCCATCACGTTAGGAGTGTTAATGCCAGTACCAAGATAGTATTTACATGCGAGAAACTGGACCCTCTCTACCACCTCTAGTCTTTGATGTCCCCACATTTCGCATTGGTAAAGAAGGATGGGTTTAATTTTTGAATCAAATATTTTGAAAAATGTTCCGAGTGGGACTTTTCCATATGTCCAAACTAATTTTAAAACATTCATTAGTGCTCGTTTTCCGTTTAACGCCAAATGGGATACTTCCCTTGTTAAATTTAATGATGGAGTCATCAGTAGCCAAAGGTACTTATATTCTGGAACAACTTCTACAATTTCATTGCGATAATACCATTTTTCACATTTTATAAGATTTCCACCCTTTCGAAAAATAATGATTTTTGTTTTTGAAAGGTTGACATTTAACTTCCATGTTGAACAGTAGTCATCGAGAATATTCAGTTGCTCTTGTAGCCCACTAACTCTATCAGACATGAACATAACATCATCGGCAAACATCAGTAGAAACAGTTCATGTAAATCAGGGTATAATTGTACTCCCCTACGACAAGTATCAAGAATATCGGCAGCCAACTCATTAACAAAAAGAGTTAAAAGAATTGGGCTTAATACACAGCCCTGTTTTAGTCCGATAGGATAATCAAAACACTCAGTAAAACCAGCGAATACATAGACTGGATCATAGTCAACATTTTAACAGGTAAACCACATTTTTGGAGGAAAACCACATTTTTGGAGGACATACATAAGTTTATTTCTATCTATAGAGTCAAATGCTTTTTTGAAGTCTACAAAGGCAACATAGAATCGACTCCTACGTTTACTTAAATATTTCTGTTTACAAGCTGTTAGTGTGAACAAGTTGTCCGTTGTTGCCTATCCAGGCCTAAAGGGTACTTGTTCTTCGCATATCTTATTATTATTTTCTGCCCGTGTTTTTAATCTGCGCTTAATTATAGTTGCAAATATCTTTCCGAATATACTATTTAAAGTTATACCCCTGTAGTTATTAAGATCATCTCTAGGGCCATTTTTGTAGATAGGTACTATAATACCATTGCTCCAGGAGGAGGGAAATTCGCCTGTGGAATATATTCTATTAAATAAAACCTGCACGTAAGGCATAGTTAGGTCACATGATGATTTGAACATTTCCGGTAATAACATATCTAAACCTGATGATTTCCCACCCTTTAATAATTTTATACCACTCAGTATCTCTTGTTCTGTAATCGTTGACTCCAGCTCATGATGAATTTTTGTTTGATCGTCAGCATCATCAACACTAATTGAGTGTAAAAACTGTAACCGGCTACAGAGTATTCACAACAGAGCCTTGGCTTTTGGTTTGCTTCAATAGTTTGTACAGGTTTCTTTGTTACCCCCTTCAGAATAATCATCCCCACAGTTCTCCTTTGATTTAATCGCTGGATTCAGTACATCTATTACTGCTGCAGCAGTCGATTTGTCATCACAATACTCGCTGGGTATTTGTTTTGTTTCGATCATAGGTTTTGATGTTTGTATTAATGCTACTTCAGTATCAACTTCATTGATGAGTACTGTCACCTTCAGTTCGGAGTCTTTTGTTCGTGGTTGCGTCCTCTTGCTGAGTGTTGACAGGAATCCCAAGACCGTGGTCGAGAAAAACATGGCACCTGAAAAGAAACATTCATAAGCCTTTGAACTTGAACTAGAACTGGAAGGCTAACATATGTTTTGTTGACAAACGAATTTACTACCCCACAACGAAATAGCTGTATGCAGCAGATGCAGCATCCTATGGCATTGAAGCTTATAAAATTTATGATGACCGAATGTATTCAATTTTGTAACTGGTCTCCAAACTCTCACATGTGTGTGACTATATAAAATACATTTTGTCGCAAATAATAACATAGTTTGTGAAACTGAAACCTAGAAGTCCATGCTTTTCGTACTCACTGATTCAATCCAAAGCAACAAATACGTCATTTCACATCTTTCATTAACATCACTGATAATACAGTATGTCACACTGTTGACTGTTGGAAATTAAATTTCCCCTTAACTGGATAAGGTACCACTGATTTACCTGAAAGGAGGAACGCGCTGTAGTACGATCCTCTTGCTTCTACTATGGCTCCTGAAACAGTTAAGAAATGTGAACACAGATCATTTTAGAAAAATGAACAGAAATGATATGGGACTCAACTGCCAAAGCAACATATTCCAGTTCAGTTGTGGATAGGTATTCGGATTCGGAAGATTTTGAAGACATGAAATGCGCACACTAACAACATTTTTCATGTTTCTCACGATGTTCTAGCACTACAAGCAAAATATATCATGCTACTAGTAAGCTTTTATGTCATCAAATAAGTCTTACATGTTATGTTATAGGATATGTATATAGCGCACATATCCACGCACTAGTGCATGCTCAAGGCGCTGGTATTTTTTCCCTCCATCATTGGATGTCAATCTCAACGGCACATCGCATTATCAATCTCAACTCCCTGGGGAGTATACAACTGCAGCCACTTGCACCGAGTTATTGTGGCTTTCTCATCCTAACGAGGTACCAATTCACAGCTGGGTGGACTGGGACACATAGTCACAGTACTTTGTCCATGTTCACTGCACGTTGCTGTACCCGCAACTAGGTGTTTGCACGTATTCATGTGGCCACCATCTGGTCAAATACCAACGGATTCGTGGGATCTTTTAAGTGCACAGGGTTGTGTACTGTACACTAGGGGTTGTGACAACACTGAAAGAGTCTGCACACACAGTTGACTCCAAGGTTTTTACACATAAGGTGAAAGCGACGTAAAACCACACTCACTCACTCACACACTCGCTACACAAGGTGAATGCCGATATAATTAGTCATAAAGGATCAACTGAGCAACATGAAGTACATCCTACTCCTACATCGAGACTCCGAATATGGTCTGAGGCCTCGTCTGCCTCGTAAAAGAAGTTAAAGGGCAAGTTTACACGAAAATTAACATTTTTGTCTTGAACTTTTTCATCATAAAAAGTATTTGCCAAGTAGTTTTATAGCCAAAACAGTACAAATATCAGAAGTAACTAATTTATTTTTTGCGTTATATCGATTCAGATTTTCCACATTTACCGAGAGTTCTATGTCCACAATAAACACACCACGGCTTATGTCCCTTGGAAATGACGTCATTGGTGCGAAACCGATAAACGAATGACGTTGTTAGACCCATTTCACGTGGTGCAGGTATAGGTGTGGTTCTAGTGTCTCGATGCGCAGGCTACTGTTTTAATCCAGCTGTTGCCTGGCCTTCTCTGCCTATGTGGTCAGTTCCACACTGTGATGACGTTGCAATTTGAAAAAACGTATACATTGTACAAACAATGTTACCACGTATCCCAATAGTACAACATTCAACCTGAGTCGGTCGTCTTTCAACAGTATCGTTTTTCACAAAAACTAAAACGTTTATGCACTACACCTTAGCTTGCCATCGGTACGTGTCGGAATTCTATGTTTGTTACTTAATTCCTTCATAAATCGTACAATATATGTCCCACCTCTTCCACTCTTCCTACCTATCGATACCAATCCAAATACATCACGAAGATGAATGCAATTGGCCGTTTTTAATTCTGTTTGAAATCGTTTTTCTATGACATCATCCGCCCATTGTAAAGCAAATATACTGAAAATTACATGTATCGTAAACCTGGCCAGTTTTGACACAATACGAAATCCCCATTCACTTGTGTTTTGCGTAATTTATAGTATGCCTTAATTCAAATGTCAAATTTTGCTGGGAGAATTGAATTTAAAAGCCAAAAAAAAAACAAAAAAAAAAAAAAAACAACAACAAGCAAAAAACAACAACAACAACGTATCATTGTGATCAGCGGTATTTTTGTTGTTGTTGTTTGATCGAAACACCAATGCTCGATTCAACGGTATTTTTGTTGTTGTTGTTTTGTCGAATCACGAATGCTCGATTCAACTGAGAATCGCTGAGAATGTTTTGAAAATACGCACAGTTAACGTCAAAGTGAATTTTCAGCCATAAAGCAGAGTGTTTACAAAATCCCGTCACACGTACACTTACACGAATCCCTGAATTCCTCGTACAGTTCAAAATAAATGACAAATGGTCTTTGTCACCAATACCAAGTGTTTCAGTGAAATCTACCGAAATTTATCAGATGTGCCGCTGCGAGAGGACCACTTAATTGTTTGTAATGTAAACAAAGTCAATCTCACATTTCACTCTGTGTATCTTTTCGCCTACTTGTGTTGTATACACTTGCTCATTAGTTTTAGACCATGCATAGGATAGGTTTCGTAGCAAGCGATAGTTACATAAAATAGGTGTATTCCAATGATTTCCGAGATTCATCACAACATATTACAGTTTCTGAAACCGTGACGCCATGACAGACGCAAACTCACGCACACCGACGATGGAAATTTTCCTCATTTCTGACTATTTCCCTCGGTCACAATGAAAACAAAAGGAAAATAACATCAAGCAGATTGTCAGAATGTTTCGGACTACTTACATATGTCACATTTATATATATACGTTGCTTGAAACAAAGAAATTTTCGGTCGTCAGTGAACAATCCATTTTGAGAATGTCGCTTCCCGACAGTGATGTCATACGGACGTCAACATTGTTATACATATTTGGTATTTCACTGACGTGTGGTTATGAATAAAAATACGACCGATCAATCTGTCCTGCTGCTTACATTTTCAGTTCTCATGCTTCTTTCGTAATTTCACAAACTTTTCTCACGTGATTAATTTCAGTATTATTATCCTTTGAATTGGGACCAGACGGGAAACCAGTCTAAAATCAAGTGGCACCAATTACGTCATAATCGAAGGGCGGTAACTCTGGCCTGTTTAGATCGGCAAACAAGGACCGCATAATGGCATAACATTTCAGCACTTATTTTAAGGGTTATACTTTCATTGTAAGAAAAATGTGTAATTTCAAATATTGATATTAGATAACTAAAATATTTCACATTGTTTCACGTAAGCATAAATGTGATTTTATCGTGTACACTTCCTCTTTAACATCCATAAGAGTGCCTCTTTGTGTGCATGACTTCCAAGAGGCGTTAAAGTTATTGAGTTTAATCAAGAAGATTCCTAATCGTCATGAATCAACATGGGATTTCACAGCAGAAGTTGTAGCTGCGAAACGTAAAAGACGCAGAGCAGAGAGACATTTTGAGAAAATCCAGATTGGAAATACATCGGCAGCTGTATGTTTCAGCTAGGAATGAACTGACATTGATAATCCGCCAATGCAAGCGTCGCTATCTCAACAACAAAGTCAAAGAAAATACGAAAGATTCAAAGGCTCTATATCGACTCCTTTTCACTATGATGGGGAAACCCCATACCTCGTCATTACCATCCAGGGGAAGTGATCTCGAAATATCAGAAGATTTCTCATCTTATTTCATCAATAAAATCCAGACTATCCGTTCAAAGTTAGACAGTTCCGAGGAAGTTATGCATTACTTCCCTACAAGCACATTTGTAAATGATCCGCTTACACATGTTCACACCTTCAGTGAAGAAGAAGTTCTCTCACTCCAGAAGAAAGCCAAGCACACCACCTGCGCACTTGATCCAATCCCCACACAGCTTGTGTACGACAATCTGGATATTCTGCTGCCTCCCATCTCCAAAATTGTCAATCTATCGATAACTTCCGGTTCTATGCCGCAAGACTTCAAGACAGCTATAGTCAAGCCCTTATTGAATAAATCTGGACTCGACAGAGAAAATCTGAAGAACTATAGACCAGTCTCCAATCTGTCTTTTGTATCAAAACTTGTTGAGAAGGCTGTGAGCTGTCGTCTGTCTGAACATCTCAGCAAGCACAATCTCCATGAACCCTTTCAGTCGGCTTATAGACCTCGCCATAGCACTGCCTTGTTGAAAGTTCTGAATGACATACGTTGTGGTGTGGACAATGGTGATGTTGCTCTTCTAATTCTTCTTGATCTAAGTGCAGCTTTTGACACGATTGATCATAACAACCTTTTGACACGTCTTGACTCAGAATTCGGAATTAGGGGATCGGCACTGAAGTGGATTCAATCCTACTTGACAGATAGAACACAGAAAGTAGTCATCAATGGAATTTCATCTAGTCCTGTTCAACTTCAATGCAGTGTCCCACAAGGATCGGTTTTGGGACCAACACAGTCTTTACACCAGACCTCTATGCAAAATCAGCAGCAAACATAATCTCCTAAACCACTTGTATGCTGATGACACTCAGCTGTGTAATCTTTTCACACCAAGTCCTTCTGCAGCTGCCATGGCTATCTCCCAAACATCCGATTGTTGTGAAGAAATCAAACTTTGGATGACCAACAAAAAGCTACAGCTGAACGCTGAGAAAACTGAAGCAATTCCCATTGGTCCATCACAGAGGCGTCAGAAATGCCAAATTCACTCGATGAGAGTGAACAATTCTACCATACCTCTGTCATCCCATGTGAAAGACCTCGGGGTTGTCATCGATTCTGATCTTAGCCTGGACAAGCAAATCAGTCAACTCTCTAAAGTCTGCCACCTACAATTAAGGAACATTGGCAAGATCAGACCCTGTCTCACCAAAGAAGCTACAAAATCGCTGACTCTCTCTCTCTCTTATCATTTCTCGCCTTGACTATTGTAATAGTCTTCTCGCCAACTCTCCAAATATCAACCTAAACAGACTCCAGAGGATTCAAAATAAAGCTGCTCGCCTTGTCTCTCTGTCACCTAATAACTATATATATTCTATTACAATGTCAAATGTTCTCGTCACGATATGGCTGAAATATTGCCGATGTGACGTTAAATAATAACTCACTCACTCACTCTCTGTCACCCATGTCGAACCACATCACACCCATCCTCAAAGAACTCCACTGGCTTCCAGTAAAACAACGAATCGACTTTAAGCTCCTTTATCTGGCATTCCAATGCTACTCTCAAACAGCCCCACAGTATCTCTGTGACTTACTTCCATTGTACTGTCCCAGCAGAACCCTTCGGTCTGAATTCAAACATCTGTTTATTGTTCCAAAAGTGAAACTCTCTAGTTATGGGAAGAAATCGTTTGCATATGCTGCAGCCACTGCCTGGAACAATCTTCCCCTTGATGTTCGCCTGTGTCAAACCTGTTCTGCCTTCAAAACAGCTATCAAAACCCATCTTTTCCGCCAAGCTTTCTTCTGATCAAATCTCACTGCGCTTTGAGCATAATATCCAAGTATTGAAAAGCGCAATACAAATCTACTATTATTATTATTATTATTATTATTTACCATGTCCTCATACAACATCCTTTGAAAATGTCTTGCCACCTGAGACACCTGATGACACAGCACACATGATTAATAGAATGGAAAGCACTTTAGCTGATACTCCTTTACCCAAAATCCATAAATGCAACTTGACTTCATAATGAACAGTATTTGTGCCTGGTTGTGGGACAATATCTTCTGGCTGCATGGTACGTAACAATTGTCCAAAATACAATTGTAAATAGCTCGTCTCTTGGTAGTACAGCATAACAATATCATATTTCTCTTTATATCATCCTTCTGTTTTTCACATTCAGAAATATACATCCATACATAAATGACATCCCTATGTGCCTGTGCGGTGTTTGCTTCTTTCATGTTTGTGTAATGTACTACATTACATGCTCTCAAATTAGTTTCAATAAAATGTGATAACCGAGATGTTCTACTGTCATTTGACCTCACTATTTGGAAAGGACAAGGTATGATAAGGGTGTTTCTTGGCCCACAAACAGAATTGGCCGAACACATGTTATTTGTTTAGAGACAAGATAGCTTTGCATAAAAAGTTAATTTTTAAATGATCTGAGGCCGTAATTTCAATGCAGAGGGGCCCAAAATGGGTTTTATCAGTTCTCATGAAAAATAACAAGAAGTCTGAAATATCAGTGTGCCATAATGACTTATTTACAACTATGAGTTTATTAACATACAAATAACATCAGTTTTACAACAGGTATTCATGATGAAGAAACATGTCAATATCAATCGCAAGGTTTTAACTTCAAGGGGCCCAATTAGGGTTGCAAAACATTGCAGACAGTAATTCAATTACTTGCCAATTGTTTCCAAACCAAATCAATATTCACAACTCTCTTTGCAAATATAAACTATAGGTCAATTTTACAACATGTACTTATGATAACCAATCATGTCGCACTAAAAATCACAGGGGACCATTTTTGGTCTAATTACATTTTGGGCACAGCTTGATTTTAACAGGTCTTTACCTCAAAGGGGCCCATTTCGGGTGAAATTAGATTCTTGGCACAGCTTGAGTTTAACTCCAAGTAAGTGTTAAAAGTCAGTATTCAAATATCTTCAGAAAGTAGTTATTCACAACTCATTCACTGCAAAGATATAAAACATCCACTTTCACTCTTCATCCACATGGTCATCAATCTCAGTTTCTGAATCACTGTCAAGAACTGCAGCAGTCAACAGTGTATCACTAGGCATCTTGTCTTGGTGTCTGCCATACCCAGATCTTCTCAACTGAAAAACAGATGACTTTATATCAATAGAAAATTCTGTTAAAAAAACTTTGATAATCTATTCAAGGGTAACATGACTTATTTTCAAATGTCATTAGTCTGGCTTTGAAGGCTTTTGCAGATTTAATCACCCCTGAGGCATCAGTATTTCTGAAATTCTGTCATATTAAATTAGAAAATTGAAAAAGCATAATATTGATTATTTTTTAACACACATATTATGCTTACCTTCAACCTCAAGTTTTAAGTTTCCATCTTCATGAAATGACACTCCTGAAATCAGTCCTAGCAATTTTCTCTTATCTGAAAACAAATATTTGAAATTATATAAGAATTATCATTAGGTTCAAGAAATAGGTGTTTTCTAGTTTTTATAATGCTAAATATGTCAATAGTATAGTTATATAAGGAAGGGGATTGACCTCCAAAAGCATAATCAATTGTTGAGGCCACCTTTCGATCAATTATAGATATAAGATAAAAACAACTGTTAGAGCACATGAAAACAAAGGTAATCAGTCCTCAGTTTCTGTATGACCAATAGTCATTGATTCTGTAAACATATTTTTAAGAAGAAATAGTGAACGCTTGAGTCGATTATGTGTTTTGGTTATTGGTAATTGACTTGCAGCCCACAAAATATCCATAAACTAATTATTTGTTTGATCAGTACACGACTAATTAACAGCTCTGGGCAAATTGTAAATATTTACTTTACCATACTAACATTTTGAAACAATGCTTACCTTCTCCGTGTTCTTTATTGTGTGGGAACAAAGGCAACGAGACAGAGTGGAACAGTCAGTTCTTTAGGCTCAAAAAAGATTTACATGATGTTAATTCGAGTTTGTTTGAACAGTGTAAAATAGATTACCAAACTCCAGAATTGTTTTGATAAAATTTGGATTTCATGTGCACAAGTTAAGTTAAACATTGTAAATTGGCTGACCATACTTTTGAAAAAAGAAAAGAAGAAGAAATTACCAGCGTTTGAACCTGCATGTCTGATAATAGAAAAAAATTGATCGGCCATCACTGTAACCACTAGGCTACAATTTCCACTATTACCATTTGTCAATTTAAGCTTATATATTACACCTTGTAACAACGTGTCACTTTGCGTCTGCTTGCCTTCACCATATGCTAGACCCTGATACAATGTTTTTAATTTAACAATAAACTTTTCATACAGTTAAGCATAGTCATTTTGGTTCAATGTAATCTGATATATCCTAGAAAACATCAAGGTACATCATTTTTGTTAAAATGTGTATGTTTATACACAGTTACATCCTGTGGAATGACAGTGTTTATTTGACAGTGGCAGGTGACTCAGAGGTGTTTGATAAACAGATGATAGAACAAATATGATAAAATTCTAGCATAATTACAAAGATTCTCACCTTTAGATTGCTGCCTGATAATATTTTGAAAAATCTTCTGATGTCTTCTTACTTTTCCAGCAGAGATCAACAGGGTCTCCAAAAAAAAATTACCCTTGTTTACCTCAAAGTAATCAGCCTTGAGAGTCCCCTATGATATTGAACATGTTTTAATTTTAGTGCTCTAAAACATTCAAAATAAATAATGAATCATGGTATAGTTGTGTAAATGTGACGGATAGTTTTCAAAGATATTACTTTACACCAATGTTTATTTTTGAGATGTATGGGGCAATTTCATATTACAGAAAAAATGTACTTTTTAAACATTTTGATATGAGCAAAAGCGTGACCCACCACAATTTTTTAGGTGTGCATTCTAATTTACTCTCTTCATGTGTGGTGAAAAAATTGGGATGGGTCATGCTTTTGCTCACACTTTTTTATCACTCTGAAAATAAGAAAATGTAGGTTTTTAGAAGATATTGTAAAATAGGTTAACTTTGAGGTCTTCAAAGAGGGAAAAAGAAAAACAGCACTAAAATTGCGATAATTTCAACAATGTATGTAGCCGTTGTGATGCTAAAATTATCATGTTGTAAAATTTTGAATAATATTAAATGTTGTGGGCCAACAAGGGCCTTTATCACACCTTGTCCTTTTGAACAATGTCGTATAATTTGCTCTTGTCCTGATATGGCCGAAATATTACTGATGTGACGATACATTTTAACTTACTCATGTATGTGTGTGTACGTACCTGCAATAGGAGGACCTGTAAGATAACCGACTCCACAGGAAAATAAAGCTGCACCCACACCAGTGGCGAAGTCTTGAATTCCAAGAATTTCAAGTGTTAGAGTATTGAGGAGAACCCATGTTCCTCCGCTATACAATCCAAGAATGAAGCCATAAAGTATTCTCAGAAATGAGGATGTGTTGAACAGTGGCAGCATGAAGGTAAAAATTGCTATTATGCCATTCAGAGAGGCATACAGTGTGGCACTTCCAATCTTCTCGTCGCTCAGAGCAAATCCAATTAGAATCCGAGAGACAATACTTCCTAGGCCTGAAGTTGATACAACAAAGGCGCTCTCTTGGAATGTTGATCCCTGTTTTATGAAGAAGTCCGGAAGAAAGAGATATTCTGTTGCTATAGCAATTGAATAGCACACAAGACTGCATAAAAAGAATAAAAATGAAACATTACTGAAAACATGGTAGACATTCCTTACATCCCGACATATTGATGTCATATTTCTCTTTGCACGTTGTTCCTTTCCGACACGTTGCTTTCTCTTGCGCTCTATGTCAGACGGACGCATAAGCATTCCGGCAATGCATACATGAAGTGCTATTCCTCCGGTGATAAGGAAGGCTCCGTGGACTCCATATGTTTCGGTCAAATACTGCAAGAGTGGGGGATGTATCAATATCCCAAATCCAATTCCTGAAATAGATATTCCTGTAACCAGACCTGATTTTACAGGGAAGTAATATCCAATAATGACGAAACTTCCGGTTTGTGCCAAACCTGTGCCAAGACCTGAAATATGAACGGCAACACATCAAAATCCTTTTCATACCATTATTGTAAGTATTTTATCAAGTATGGCATACAAAATACATGAAAACCAATTGGGTGATCCAACATTTACTGGCAGGTTATCAATGTACCCGTCCCCACAATCACCTCTTTTCACGAAAGACCGGCTATCATCACTATTGAAAATTTGACATGCTAGTGATTCATAAACACATGATTATGGAATAGTTCATATGCGGAAGCGTACGTTGGCTCCCAGTTTATTAGATATTTCTTATTGTTGCTTTCTTTTCATCTCATGTGTCACTCTGAAAGACGTTTGCGTGCGCTCTCTGGAATTGTGCGCCATCTATAAGACTAAATTGAACAAATTTCGAACTCGGAGAATACCAGTTTTCTACTCATAGTTTAATTTTCCATGTGTATAGCAGGATCATGTGTCTTTTCACATAACAACCAACGTCCCGAAGTGTTTCAAAATATGTTCAAAATGTTTGCCTTCAACTTTCTTGAACTTACTTTAACATTGGCGTTGTCATTTTAACTCTGGAACTTGCTGATAGTTACGTTTGCGTCAAATGCATAACTTATATACTCCGAGGTTTTTCACAAAGGGACATATCAAAGTAGCACATATCGACAGATTTTGATATTGTTTCTATTATTTATCATTCATATAACGTCAACAAGAAAACGATCGATTTTACTTTCAGTCTGACACCTGCGGTTCAGGATTAAGAAGGCACTAAATGGCAGTCTTCCCCAATGAACCAAGGACTCCATCCACTTACCTGCAATTAAGGAATATGTTACGAACAATGTCCTTATTTCTGTCACAAAACAGCTGGCTGAGAACCCAACCATCATCAAGACACCAGACGTCACCACACACGTTCTGCAGTCAAACACGTTGATGACTATGCTGGCAATTGGTCCTGAAATAGACAGGAAATATGTGAGTGAGTGAGTTTAGCTTTTCGCCGCACTCAGCAATATTCCAGCTATATGGCGGCGGTCTGTAAATAATCGAGTCTGGACCAGACAATCCAGGGATCAACAGCATGAACATCGATCTACGCGATTGGGATACGATGACATGTGTCAAGCCAGTCAGCGAGCCTGACCACCCGATCCCGTTAGTTGTCTCTTACGACAAGCATGGGTTACTGAAGATCAATTCTAACCCGGATCTTCACGGGGCCTAGGAAATGTGAATGAACAGCATGAACGTAAACCATAAGCATTGGTTAATGAAACTGACATGAGAACCACAATGGGCTCGCAAATACTTTTAGCAACCTGCCTTTTTATTTCGTCAGTTCCATACCTGTGAGAGCGAACATGCAGGAAAAGAGAGATCCTACCCATGCTGTCATCGTCGCGTCCTCCTGGAATCTTTCGAGCAACGCGACGTGGAGTACTCCGTTTGCATACACGATGCTTGGTCCACAGAGCATTGTTGCAAAGGACGCAAAGAGAACAACTGCTGGATAAATACTCTGCTTCGCCATGTCGGTGTTCAAGGGTTTGTGTTCTGAAAATATTGACTACTTGTAGCATGATTGATCTGTCAAATGTTGCAACTGTTGGCAATGGTTACACAGCAATTATTCAATCAACACCTATTTATACTTGTTGTTGGATATTAATATAGCATACATATCCACGCACTAGTGCATGCTCAAGGCGCTGGTATGTTCCCTTGATCATTGGATGTCAATCTCTACGGCACATCCTTTTATCAAGATCAACTCCCTGGAGAGCATACAACACTTGCAGCCACTAGGCACACCGAGTTGTTGCGGCTTTCTCATCCTTACGAGGTACCCATTAACAGTTGGTTGGACTGGGACACATAGTCACAGTACTTTGTCAAAGTTAACTGCACGTTGCTGTTCCCGCAACTAGGTGTTTGCAAGTGGCCACCATCTGGTCATATACATTGTGATTCGTGGCTTCTTTTAAGTGCACAGTGTTGTGTACTGTACACTAGGGGTCGTGACAACACTGAAAGAGTCTGAACACAAGGTTGATTCCAAGGTTGTTTTTTTTACACCCGGCCACAGGTTGGCTCGATCCCCGCACCTCATGGACGCTGGATGACTACCCTGGCGCCTTAGCCAGCTCGCCCACTATCACCCCTTCCGAGTGTACCAGTACATTATTTAGTATCAATGTAAGAGAGACGTTTTGAAGAAAGCTAAATCACATATAACAAATGGAAATGGAGTTTCAGTCGGCATATTATTCGAGTTTTGCAATAGCATTTAGATGTGATGCACGCCGGATTAAGGCGTGAATTTGTTCTCTGGATCGTTGCGTTCCTTAAATGTAACAGCCATAGATGCCTCTACTTCACCTTTTGCTCGGATGACATAATATGATCGATATTTGAATGTGAGCCATCAATGACTTTAAAGCGTTTTGTTGTCAATGATGAAGCAATGAGACATATCAACGCTTCTGAGAATCCCCAAAGCGCAAATGTCCACATATCGGAGTTATTACACTGGATACTTCTACCCTGTTGGGTTGTACTTTTTGATCTAATTCATTCCGCTAACAACTATACATAAAAAAATGTTTTGGTTTTACATTCACAAATATCAATGTGTTCACAAATACCTACGTAATTTACAAAAGTGGTTTCATTACGTGTGTACATTTTTTTGGAAGATATTAACCATATCTCTGTAGGTTTCGCCGAGCTTCCTAATATGCAATTATTGAAAACAGGTTGATTTTAATAGTTTCAATGTTAACGTCTTCCTGTGTGTCATATAAACACATGCATCGAAGTGTTTTTAAGATGCCGGTGTACTATGGGTAGAGATTCGTTTACATGTAGAGCCAGATATATACTAAGCAGCAAAAGAAACGTCACTTTGGAATTTTCCTTCGCAGAAACGGATAACTGTAAACTTATTTAATGTTTTGATTGTATATTTTTGACAACATCTCCAACTTTACCTGAGCAAAGACATTTATTCCCAAACTCAGAATGGAACCTAGGAAATGGTCTCAAAAATGCAACCTGATCTCGGAGATGGTACTGTGTTCTCCATGTTTTTCATGCAACTCATGCTGTACGTGCTGTTCACAAGGACCAGCCCTATAAAATGCACCCCCAAACTTGGTTGAAACACTCACATTACAACGTCAGCAGGATGCCGCGACTCACGACACCTCAGAGGAACCAGGCGCTAGGAAAATTTGAAGCTGGACACACTGCACAAGCCGTTGTCAATCACTTCCAGGTCAACGTTCGGACCATATACAGGCAGCAGCAACGTTTCCGGGCCACCAACACCACAAATGATCGCCCCCGTACTGGCAGACCAAGGGTTACTACAAGACGACAAGACCACCATGTTGTGCGACAGCATGTACAGAATCCATTCATGCAGGCATCCGAAAAAGCCCGCAAGACAGTGGGAACACACGGAAGACCAATCAGTACTGATACGACGTCTTAACAGCGGGAACCTCCATTGCCATAGACCTTACCGTGGACCTATCCTCACCCCTCGTCATCGGCGTGAACGTCTACAGTTTGCCCTACAACACCACAACTGGTGATACAGGCAATTGAGAACTGTTCTGTTCACAGATGAGAGTCGGTATTGCGTATCAACTGCAGATGGCAGAACAAGAATATGGCTGCGACTTGGCCAGCGTTACTCAGACCGACGTGTTATTGAAAGAGACTCATGGGGAGATGCAAGCATCATGGTATGGGGTGGAATAGGCCTGAACCAGAGAGGGGGTCCTGTGGTGTTCCAGAACCTTGGACCAGGGAGAGGAGGCGGCATCACAGCGGTGCGCTACATCGACCAAGCTCTCAGACCCCACGTCATACCACATTTCGCACGTCAACGGAACAACATTTTCCAGCATGATAACGTCCGGGCCTATACTGCCAGAACGGTGTGAACATTATGCAGTGGTCAGCCCTTAGTGCTGATTTAAACCCAATTGAACATCTTTGGGATGAAATTCAGAGGAGACTGAATAATGTCATACCAAGGCCGAACACAGCCGATTTATTGCGCCAGGCCTTTCTCAGAGTGTGGTTCCAGGTGTCAATGGCCTTCATCAATTGATTGGTGCACTCCATGCATAGACGCTGTGCTGCAGTTATTGCCGCTCGTGGTGGTCACACTAGATACTGAAGTCAAGGGTCTGAATGGTTATTCATTGATTTGTTAAGATATTGTGCACAAAAAATGGTTTTAAAACCGCTTATTATGTCCATTTCTGTAATCATTTGATTACAGTGCCTATCTAATTTTGAATTCGTATTGACGTGTTTTTTTCTGCTGAGTATACAAACTGACTTGGGAGGAAATGCTTTCACCGAAATCCTTTGTTATTCTTTTCAGAATAAAACTGCAACATAGCTTTCAAAGAAACCCAATTTCCGACCCAATTTATGCGTCTTCTACCAAGTCAGAGGTCTAACAATTGTGTTCTACCGTTCACACAATCATTCATTAAATATGAAACGGCAACGCCTGACAATATCGAGTCACGTTTATACGCCAAGGCAGATAACAGAGGGCTAAAAGCAAAGCCACTGTTACAGCTTTAAGAAAGAATCACTGCACATAAATAATGATACCAGGTGTTCGCGAAAACGGTTAGTATGTCCTTCCCTAGCGGCATTTGCCAACAGTACTCCTCTGATGGGTGTGGGGTGTGCCCGACTTATATTAAGAGAACCACCGTGTCATGTTTACAGCTTAAAGGGTGAATAACTACACCAAGGAACAAGTCCCAACTGCCCGGTCAGTGGTCGGCAAGAGGTTAATTACCAACAACAAACATACACTGTTTGCTCAACATGGCCAAGTAGCTACTACGCTTACAACGTGTTGTATCAGGACTACGCTTGCTGCTAAACTGTAACTACATCGCCTATTGGCATGGTCAAGTAGTTTATAAAAAATCCTACAGTTGATTATGCTAAAACAAGGTAAGGTACGGGAGTCGAACCTCTGTCTCCCGCTCTCGCACTCGGCGTAAGAAGCGGCTAACGGGATCGGCTGGTCAGGCTCGCTGACTTGGTGGACACACGTTTTTCTATCTCAATTGCGTAGATCGATGTTCAGGCTCTTTATCACTGGATTGTCTCGTCCAGATTCGATTATTTACAGACCGCCGCCATATAGCTGGAGTGTCGCGTTAAACAACTACCAAACCCAAATAGATCGTATATTTCGCTGACGAAGACAATTTGCTGTGTGCGGCGTTAGGCAACAAACAATCACTTATTTCTAGCTGTGTAGTTACAACTAACCATTTATTACACACCTCTTGGTTATTCCGGGACATGTCATAATAAGTTCACGCACTACCCATGATTTAATTATGCGAATGTAACAGCTTGAAACGTGATGGAATATTGAAGAACTGGTTTTAGTATTCATGCTGAAATAGGTCACATATTTCGCGGAACAATATGATGGCAAATTACTGAGTACATATTGCATTATTGTTATTCAACAGGCACTTCATATTTGTCATATCATTATTACATTATAATAAAATTTATTGCAGGTGGGGCAAGCGAGATGTTTCAAAGTCAAAGTCCACATATGTCTGATGTTTTTTTCCGTGATGTTGTTAGTCACCTGGCCGTAAAAAGAGACAAACAATTCAATAACATAAATAATGTCATTGGCTCTATAATAATGGTTTGTTGGCAGGATATTTCTCAGGAGGTGGATGGCCGTATTCCAAAGAAGCATAATAAAAGTTCATTTTCAGCGACGCACATTTTCCGTTACTCCGCTTTAAAAATATTCCAGCAATATCACGGCGGTGGACACACGGTTCCCAGGAACCCATCGCTGTACCTTCCAGCCTTACAAATATGATCGATATTTGAATGTGAGCCATCAATGACTTTAAAGCGTTTTGTTGTCAATGATGAAGCAATGAGACATATCAACGCTTCTGAGAATCCCCAAAGCGCAAATGTCCACATATCGGAGTTATTACACTGGATACTTCTACCCTGTTGGGTTGTACTTTTTGATCTAATTCATTCCGCTAACAACTTCATGCATAAAAAAATGTTTTGGTTTTACATTCACAAATATCAATGTGTTCACAAATACCTACGTAATTTACAAAGTGGTTTCATTACGTGTGTACATTTTTGGAAGATATTAACCATATCTCTGTAGGTTTCTGGCCGAGCTTCCTAATATGCAATTATTGAAAACAGGTTGATTTTAATAGTTTCAATGTTAACGTCTTCCTGTGTGTCATATAAACACATGCATCGAAGTGTTTTTAAGATGCCAGTGTACTATGGGTAGAGATTCGTTTACATGTAGAGCCAGATATATACTAAGCAGCAAAAGAAACGTCACTTTGGAATTTTCCTTCGCAGAAACGGATAACTGAAAACTTATTTAATGTTTTGATTGTATATTTTTGAAAACATCTCCAACTTTACCTGAGCAAAGACATTTATTCCCAAACTCAGAATGGAACCTAGGAATGGTCTCAAAATGCAACTGATCT